GGACTACTGCATGTTATAAGATGAAATATGGGCTCGCAAAAACTATTAAGGAAAATATCATTAAAACTTTAAAGGAGACTCCATTTTCTCTAAATTTGGATGAAAGTACTAGCAATGCTCAAGAAAGTATACTGGCAATATTGGTGCAGTTTTATGACAACAATCAAAATGAAGTTGTAGTTCATCATTTTGCATCTCTAAAGATGGAATCTTGCAATTCAGAAGCTGTTTTTAAAGCAGTTGTTAATACTATTGAAGATAATAATATTCCATGGGCAAACTTAATTAGTGAATTAATGGACTCATTTAACACCATGCGTGGAAAAAAAAGGGGTGTTGAAACCAGACTACGATCAAACAAAGCACCCCACTTATTAGATATTAATGGTGACACATGTCACACAGCTAATAACTGTGCAAAAAAAATGCTTCATGTTTTGATAGATACTGAGAAGATTTGTTTGATGACATCTATTTTGATATGAAAAGATGCAGTAAAAGAGAAAATTTTTTCAAAATCTGTGAATCCCTTGCCATTAAAAAACTTAAGCCCTTGAAGAGACCAGACCATAGGTGGGTGTACATTTTATGTGTTTTAGAAAGAATCAAAGATCTGTGGGATGCTCTTATTGCATTTTATTTTCACTACTTGGATAAAACTGATAAAGGGGATTATTTTTCTTATGTTGAAACTGTATACAATAAAAGAATTATTTCTGCAGCTCAGAAAAAAAAAAAAAAATTGTTGAAGGGGTGTATTCTAGCTTGCATTCCCAACAACTCACAAAGGATGTTTTAGCTCGGAAAAAAAGAATACTAAATGGGTTATTTGTTATGCAAAACAATATTGCATATGGCATTATATTCAGCAGTATTACCAGAGTTCAATGCATATATTAAATTATTTGAAAAAAAAAAAAAAAAAAAAAAAAAAAAAAAAAACCAATGCTTCATTTAATACATTGTAGTATTTATAAATTGATGGCAAAATTTTTCTCTTTTTTTATGAAGCCAGAAAATATAGAGTGCACATCTTATAATGATTTATTAAAGGTTGATGTCACAAATCCAGAATTCCATCTACCTAGCAAAGTAATATTTACTGGTGCAGAAGCTTCCACTCTCCTGAAGAAATTATCAAAAAAATCATCCAATAGCAAAAGAATTCCAAATTTCTCTGATGAAAGCTTATACTAATACAGCACAGCATATGAAACAGAAATTACCCCTTAAAAATTCATATCTAATTAGTTTTACAGCATTAGATCCAGAGCTAAGAGGTAAAACCAGTACAATATTAGCTTTTGAAAAATTATCATCTTTTATGTCCCATATTTTTAGTGATAATGAAAAGTCAAAAGTAGAAGCTGAAATAAGGTTATACCAGAGTGATATTGATATCACCAAAGAAATGCTCTACACATCTGATGAAAGTGGAAATCAAGTCAAGTGTACAATTGATAAATATTGGTCTAAAGTTTTTAATTTAAAAGATGATTTCACAAATGATTATAAGTATCCTACATTGGCTAAATTGGTCAAAGCCTGCCTTAGCTGCTTCCATGGCCCATTAGTGGAAAGTGCATTCAACTTAATGGATACACTTGTCACTGACTATAGAACCTCTCTTAAGATTGATTCCCTAGATGCAGTGCAGACTATTAAATATGATTTAATGGCTTCTAAAGAAACCTCATGTGAAAAATATGGCTCAAAAAATCCAATGACTGATCCAATTCACAAAGATCTCTTACTGAATATGAACAGAAGTTGGAAAACATATCAAGAGGACTTAAAAACATGTATTTCAGATGAGTCACCTATAAAAGTCTCTGAAAAACCTTCTACATTAGCAGAAAAGCAAACTGCTTCTACCTCTGCATGTGCAGTTCTCGAGGAAATTTCTTCAACTGTAAATGAGGAAAATAAAAGTCAACCTTCCTGCAATTATGAAGTTCACCCAAAAGAAAGACAAGCCCACAAACATCAGAAAAAAAAAAAAAAGCAGCAGAAAGAAATTAGATAATTTTTTTTTAAAGAATTAATTCAGGTAATTTAAAATATTTACATAAAATGTAGTAGTTTATATGTTTGAAAATTTATAGTTATTAATTTTGCAAAAAAAGTAATTCATTGAACTTTTATAATTAGGTCATTCAATACTTCATAATTGTAATTTTTCATTTCTCCCCCCCCTTCTCGAAACTCCAAAATGTCGGTAGTAAGTCCGTAAAAGTTTCAGGGGATTTTTTGGGGTCCCACAAACACCCCTGGATGACGTATTGTCAGTACAGAGATGTACTTCGTCCTGGCTGCGAAGGCCCTGTAACGTATTTTGCAGTATTTAACAAAATAACTATAATTTCTTAGTAAAACAAAATTTATTTGTTTACGGAGATAGATAATTTGAATACAGTCTTTTAGTTACAAATTTTTCATACATCTACTACTGGAAAAACTTTTAGGATAACAATTTTTAACAATTTCTTATGTTTCTGAACAATGGTTACATGATACAAATATGGCATTGCCACTCCAATAATAAATATAGTTATTTGTTAAATAATAAAATATTACAGCTCATATGCAACAATGTATGCTGCACACTTTTTTGAGAAACACTGTCTGGGTCACCACTGTTGTAGCTGGTGGTGGTTTCGGCTGTTGTAGCTCTTCCGTCACAATGAGAAATGTGTAGCAATTTCCGCTCTCCTCTGGAATTGATGCGCTGTTAGTGACACATTGCTGGCCGGCCAACTTGTCGCTTCACCATCCATACTTCACTTTCGATATATGCTCACAACAATTGCCATGTGAGCCCACTAAACATGCAGTTTTTGATATTGATGTTCCCAGTCGCCAATCTATAATGATTTGACCTTTATTGAAGTCTGATAAATCAGCTGCTTTTCCCATTATGTTGCTGAACACGCTGTGTTTGGAAAGATAATGCATAGCTTCTTTATAGGTGCCAACATCAGCTGCACACGCACAGTGGTTTTGTTGTGTGAGCCCATTGTTATAGATAGAGGGTGGTTATAAGGTAATGGCTCTTTAGTGTATATTAGCTCACATATACTGTACACTGGTACAGTGTTCAGATCAGATAAAAATGGTGTACTTAAGCAGTTATTATGATTATATTAATTTGTGTTATTCAGAAATCATAATATAAATATTTTGTATTATTAACCCCTTCAAGCTGGGTAGTGAAAACGCTCGCTTATCACGGAGGCCGGCAGTGTCTTCCGCGAGCATCTCTCCAGGGCCGGGGGCTTTTTTGCTACTAAGCCTAAATCCATGAAATTTCCGAAGTATCAACATATTGTTTAATAATGCTCTATAGAGTATTTAAACGGCTTATGCTTTATAGATATTTTTATATATATACTTTAATTACCTTATTTCTTGTTTAAATGCATATTTTACACATTTTATTTTAATTACTCACCATTTTATGACTTTTAACATTATACATCTGAAAACTAAATATATTACTTAAAATTCTCTTTTCGTATGAAAAATTTGAAAACAGGGATCTACACACAGTCCTATATTATATTCCTTGAACTCGTAATAACTCATTTGCCGTTTTGGAGGATTTTTCCGGGAATGTGAACAAACAAAGCATCGTCGTCTCATTTTCTTATCAGTCTCTTCTAAAAAAAGTTTTGGAAAATGTCTTTCAGTTAATCTTTCAGAATCAATATCAGAATATCAGAATTTCAGAGTCAATATCTGAAATATTTTGCATCGTTTCTGCTATTTCATGCTCTGTTAAACATTTTCGACACTTCAACATTGAAACGGTAAAAACAGAAAGAATTCACGTCTAACAAGATCTAATTATTTTCTAAAAACTGAACTGTAAACCGAAATACTCAAAGCTTTAGCGTATATAAAACTTCTACTTACAGTAAACAACTACCACGTGCAAATAAAGTGCGATTTAAAGAGACGTCATAAATCACGCCATTCGGAAACATTTAGTTCCCCGTTTGTTTATATAATCAAAAACACGTGTATGTGAGTGATGCTTCTCTCATTTCGAGTAGAAGGTCTATTGTACATGTATCTGAAACCATATGGACATACAGTGCCATCTTGTGGCAGAAATTATAGTTTGAAAAACGTTCCAGGGTACTGGCACAAATACGTGACGGTCGGTAGTAAATGCAAAAATGCTCTGGCACGCCTGCGTGTCGGCCGGTAGGTAAGTGTGTTTGTTGCTGGCACATATACGTGACAGTCGGCGCGAAGGGGTTAAAGATTTATTTAAGATGTACATTTTATTTTTTAAAATTTATCAATTAAAAATTTTTATTTTTCCTGCTTCTGAAGCTGGGCGCCTGTCTCATTTGTCTATTGGCTAGTCTGACACTGTATTTATGCTGCATATGGCAAGTCTCTAAACTCTAAAATGTATTTAAGTAAATTATTTTAATTAATATTTTTAAAAAATTTAAATGAGTTTTTCTAGGATTTGTACATTGAGATGTTTAAGAGAAATTAGAAGCAACCAGTAGTGTTTATGTATTAGGTATAATAATATATAACTTTATTTTAATGAAATAAATTAGGTTAAAGGCCAGTTCTACTCTTGTATAAATTAAAATAAAGTGTGTAGAATCTGAAAAATAATAGGTAAAATGTTTAGTTACCTCTTTCCTTTGAGCAAAAAAAAAAAAAAAAAAAAAGATTTTTATTCTAAAATGTGTGTCAGAATATCTGCTGTTGTTGATGAATAAACATTTATGTATTGTCATATTATCTGTGATAAAGAGGAAAAAAGAAAAAGTTTCAATCCATGACTTAATAGAAAATCATAAAAAAAAAGAACAGGAAACAGATGGCATGCAAATTTGTTCAATTGGGTGTTGTCATGTGACTTAAAAACCAGTGCATCAGTGTTGTCTCTGAAATGACAGATTTTGAAATTTAAGAAGCAGCTGCTGTTATAATTATATTTATCAGCAGATGACTGGTTGTGTTGCAGAAATGATTTACGATTATGTAGAGAGGTATGAGAACATGCAGCCGATGGTAATATATAATCAATGTGGTGAGGTAAGAACACACAGCCAGATATCTTGGTTGATTGGAAATTCAATCTTGGGGGCTGCTATAACAAAGAATTATCCAACTTTTAATGCAGTCAAATAATGTCAATCTTCTAGACAGCTTTAGGAATGCTGTAAGTAAAAAATTATCTTCATACTTATGCAGCAGTGTTTATGCAAGTTCTAAATTTATTATGTTGCAGTTATATTCTTTAAAATCATATGTGTGTGATATATTTTTGGTTGCCAGAATTATTGATTGTGTTATTTCATGACTTTTATATGTTAATAATTTACTTTTGTTTATCAAGCAGCATTTAGGATAATTGGAAAGCTGTTGTAATCTTCATTTTATTATTCCTTTTCAGGAGCCTGAAAATGTTCCAGAGACAGAAACTTTCCCTGCATCTCCTCCCTTATATTCTGAAATCCCTGGAACAGTTCCTCTTAGTCAAGGTGTTGAAAATGGTCCTCCCCCATCATATGATGAAGTAGTCAACCCAGAAGGTTGTTAGTTGTCCAATATCTCAAAGTTAGAAATATTATTTCATATTCATTTATACTGTGTCAATGCCATTTATAAAAAATTAATTGGTTTCTAATACAAATCATAGGTTTTTAAAATATACAGAATGGAGATTAAATAAAGTATACTTGAAACCTAATGTTCAAATCATTTTGACTTGTTTATTGAGATATAGGTTCATAATTTAATGAACTCTTTTTGTATAATTAGACCATGATTAAGGTATGTCATTATAAAAAGCAGCAGTGGTCAGGATTTGAAAATTTATTTAATGCAGATTGAGAATAACTCAGGTATTTTGTGCGCATTGTAGAAAATAAATCTCATGTTATACTTACCTTGTAACTGAAACCTCTAGTCAAATATTAAAAGATTTTAAAGGAAGCATGAAGCACATTTACGGTATCTTTTTCCAGGTAGTTGGATTTATGTTATCATTATAAATTAAAAATATTTAGGATCTTCTGTAAATGAAGGAGGCAATTTAGCATCTTTCTTATTTAATTCTTCCTTAAATAAGCAAATTGCATATCTACTTTTGTTAATAAAAGTAGCTCAAAGAAACTGATGCCTGAACACCAGTTAGGAGCAAGCAAGTTTGATTATTCAGTTTGGCTTTTCAATTGAACACCAATTTGGAGCAGGCAAGTTTAATTTCCATTTTACAGGTTTTAAATGCATCATGAAGCATATGCAATCCATAGTATTCAATCTTTACTATGGATGCAAAGAAGGAGAGAAGATACGATGAACTCTGGTCATTACACTATCCCTTTGAGAGATGCTAAATAGGAATTTTATTTGTCTGTACATTTCCCTTAAATCTGAAGCCTCCTGAATACAGATCTGAATCAGAGAAATTGACCCCAGAGCAAAATAGTTTCTAAAACATGTACAAGTTATTAACAATTAGAATTATGTGATTAAGTTTCAGAAGTTAACGTACTTCTAGAGAATGCACAACATAAGTAATAAGTAATAGCAAATTTGATGTCTAATAAAAGGGTTGATTTAGAAAAGAACTTTCTTTTAGAATTTGAAAAATTAAAATGCCTAAAATCAACTTGGTTGAAGTATCACAGTTTAGTACTGCATTTTGTGTTTTTTATATATCAGTGCTTAACATCCAGTTTATATTGCAGTCAATCAAGGCTAGTTATGATAGCCACTTATTAAACTGATCATTGCATTACAATGAAGGATACAAAAAGTTCCCAATTGATGAGAGTATGCTAAACTCATTTTTGCTGAAAGAGCCACTTATTATAATGTCTCTGTTTTGGAGCACAAAAAAGATCACTATAATGTGTATCAACTTTGCCATTTAACCCTTAAACACAGAGGTGGGGTCTATATGACCGCACCAATATTTTAGAACTGCAAAACTGCTTATAACTTATGTAGTTTTTCTTCTCCTTTTCAGATCTTTCAAGTTGACATAAAATATAACTATTCCTAAATTTTTATTAAATTCTATCCATTAGTTTTTCTTAAAATAATTTTTTAAATTGGGCCTCGATCTTTTAAACCTCACCTCTGTGTTTATGTTACTTTTTTCTGACATGAGATGGAGATGGCTTTATTACTGTTTGAGTGTCGAACTTGTACAAGAACTTAACTCTAGATGCTTGACATATGTTGGTATTATGGGAAAAAAAAAGAGAGAAATACCAGGTGAATTTTTCCAAATAAAATGAAAAGGGAAGGATCTTCTCGTTATGCATTCACAATAGAATGACTCTCATTTCATATGTGCCTCAAAAATTAAAAAGTGTTATTCTCATTTCTTCAATGCATCATTCGAAATCAGAAGACCTTGAAATGGAGAAACCAGAAATAATAAAATTATACAATGTCACTAAAGGAGGTGTAGATGCACTGGATGAAAAATGTTCTAAACATTCTACAAGCCGAAGAACAAGGTAATGGCCAATGGCCATATTCTTTAGGTTACTTGATGTAAGTGGAATTAATATAAATGTACATCAGTTGTTAAGAGATAGTGCCAAATTGGAAAAAAAAAAAAAAAAAAAAATTGTTGATGGAGTTATCATTAGAATTCTGAACCACATGTGGAAGAGGCTTTAAAAGCCAACTGTAAACCAAGAAATAAAAATGTGCATTCAGAGAGTTCTAGGAGTTTCCAGTGGAATCTATTCTAGCCCAGATGTAACTGATATCCCTAAAAAGCATCTTTTTTTTTTTGTCCCTTCCAAGAAGAAAAACTACCTATCTATGTTTCAGCTTCAAGAATCCGATATGTAATGAATTTGACAAGACAATTTGTGAAAATTGTGTTGAAAATGCTTGAAATAATGTGCTGCAGTTTTTTAATATTCTTTACCTATTATACTTTTGTATAATTTTATATAATCCAGATTCTGTAGATGGAAAATTTATTAAATAGTTTAGTTTGTAAGCATTTGCATGTAAGCAGTGTTTATTTTATTTATTTGATTAAGTGTTTCGTACTTTTTCGTATGTGATGTAAAAATTAATTTTTAATGCATTATAGTTTTAAAAAGAATTAATTACTTCACTATAATAAGCAAAGTGTATTAATGCTTATATAATAACAAAACTACATTATTTTAAAATTTTATATTTTTAAGATGCGTAAAATAGAGCACTGTCTGAGAGACCCCTCTTCTGTGTTTACGTAACAGAAAATGATATTTAAGGGTTAAGTCTAATTTATGTCATAGAATGATAATTTAATTTTATGAGAATTTTTATTATGTAATGTCATTTTCTGTAAATGTTCTTTGTGTTTTTGTTTTTTTTCCTTTGATGGTTTAGTAATTGTGACTGGAAACGTTATTTTTTTAATTATAAGAAATTTTTAAATATCCTACAAAATATTTTTCAGTATTTTGTATAATTGTGATTAGGATTTTTTTTTTTTAATTTTTTTTCCCTTTTCAGTTTTTGAGTAGTTTTGTAGCATGTTTATAAATGTATGTGTGTTTGCTTAGTTTTTAAATGTATTTTAATATGTTATAAATATTTCACACATGTTCAGAAATGTAGTTTATAGCTTGAAAAGAGAAAATAAATTATGTCTACTGAGGTGTAATTTAAGTCATTGGAAATTAATAGAGAAAATCAGTGAACTTTTAAGAATTCTTTTAGTATATTAAAAGAAAAAAATCCAGTGGACTTTGAAGAATTTTTTATAATAAGTGTATTGAAAGAAAAATGTGGACTTTTAGAGTATTATTGAAGCATATTACTTATGTTAAAACTATACTTTAAGCATTGTCATTGATGCCAATTCTGCTTTTTCATTATATCACCTTGTAGATTGCCAAAGCTCATAGATTTAAAATTTTATTCTTTTGTGTCACTATTACTGATGCAGCTTTGTACTTTCCCCTGTCAAACTATGGAGTGAATCTAAATGTTTGATGTGGCTATGCGAGGCATTAGGCAAATAAGAGCACAAAAACAGGTTTTTCTACTAAAATAATCAAATCCACATATCTGCTCACTTTGCAGTGAAATGAATGGGGCATAAATGTAATTGAAGAGTTTATTTTTTGTCTTTTGCTGCATTTGTCTGCACTTGCTATAGTATATGAAATTTTCAGTTGTAATTAATAATTTTTATTATTTGACATTACTTATTTATTTTATTTTCATTGTGTTTGGAAATATTTTGATAAATTTAAACTTATCTCCTATTCATCATTTTGTCAGTATAAAAGTTGAAGAAAATCACAAAATGAAATGAAAGTAGCCAAAAAACATAAAATTTAGAATACTGAATTTCTTACTACAGTCAAAAGTCGTTAATTCGGACACCCATAATCCGGACCTCAAAGCTACAAACTTTCTGCGCATGCGTCGCGTTGACGCATCGCGTAAGGCCTTTACGGCTGCGAATATGCTTGTGCGCATGCGCAAAATACGTTTACGAATGCGCGTTTAATGTATAACGGACGGTATAAGCTAAGCTAAAATTATCTAATTATCTATTTCAGTTAATGTTGCAGATTGCGTTGTTCCTTAATCTTCGAATTGGATCCGGCTTATTATTTTTTGCAGACTGTTAGAGCAATTTTATAAAAGTAAGCTTGAACTTTCGATTATGTCAAATAGAATTTCTGATATATATTTATTAATATGTAAATGGATCTACAAAGCGAAAGTATGTTTCGAAGTTCCATTAAACAAAAAGTGGAATTGCTGCAAAAAAATGGATAAAGGCATATCCTTTGTTTATCTAAACTTTTTGTATTCTTTAACACCGCGGCAATGAATTGGATTGAAGTTGATCTGTCAGCACTATCCTTATCTTCAGGGCAGATGTTTTTTATTTTATTTGGCTTATAATTCCTTACTAAATGTAGTATTTCATCTCGATGTACTCCGTCTTTGATATGATTTAAATCAAATTCCTCGTCATTATAATTCGCTTTCCGATAGCGAAGAAAGTGACAGAGGTTATTGAAAACGAAAAAATTTCGATTGACAAATTAGTCGGTATTCTCGACACAGCAATTATAGGACTTGAACAGCGGAACTTTGTAACTGAACAAGAAATTATGTCTGTTTATAGAATTAAAGAGAAAGTATTATCACATAAAAAAAACGAAGCAACTTAAACAACTTACATTGAAAGAAATGTTTAATAAAGTAAACAAATAAATATTAAGCTTTTTTTTTTTTTTTGTAAATTTTGATACCCTTTAGATCATAATTGTTCTTTATTTCATAAATTACGGTTTCATATTTTTAATTTTATAATTTCTGCATGCCATCTTACCAGATTTAAACTGATGATCTATAATCCGGAATCGCCGAAGTCCCGACGAGTCCGGATTAACGACTTTTGACTGTAATATATTTTACATCAGGGTCTCATTATAAATAGTTCTATAACCTGTATCATGCATTATAAAAGGAGTTTAAGTCAGTTTGACATTCTCTTGAAATTGCATTGCTGCACAGCCTGAAAAACCTTCTTATATCCATAAAAAAATCTTCTCATTTATCAGATTTCAAGATTAGCAGCTATGCACTGTATTTCTCTAATTGCTAATTGTGTTTTTCTAATTACAAACAGGAGAATCGGTGAATTTTAAAGAAAATTTCCTGTCAAGAGGCCCACTAATGCCAGGCATTAAAAATTTCTGAATACTGGTAGTTCGATCTGAATTCAAATTCCAGCATGTAGGCTTGCCGCATATGAGCCAGTTGACCTTAAGTTCCCAGTTCAATTAAGTTAAAAAAAAGAGATGTGGCCACTGTGGTAGATTGCGCTCATATGCTCTGCCTTAATGCAGCTAACAGGGTTTGTACGGTCCTTAAGAGTCCTTAAGTTTTTTGGAATCGATTTTTGGTCCTTAAAAGTCCTTAATTTCGGCCAAAACCGGCAGAAGGTCCTTAATTTTAATCATCGGAAATAGCTGTCTGTTTTTTATGACTGCCATTTTGAGTGTGAATTAGCATTTTGGAGGAATATTTTTGGTGATTCAACTGACAGATATGGTTATCTTTTGAATGGGTGAATGGATATATTCGTTCCTATTTCTAATATAAATCGTGGGATTTTCGAGTTTTATAGTTAAAAGAAGTGCAGCATAAGTATTTTTAAAATGATTTCATTTTTTCTAATGAAGAGCTCTTAAACAACTTTTGGCTTTTCGGGATGTGAATTCTTTTATTAAACGGCTTCTGAATTCGGGGACTTATCAAGCATTTTGGCGATTTTAAGATCAGTTTCTGTAAAAAATTTTTAATTTCGAGATCTGGGAATTTTTCGACAATTTTTTTAAAACATTGTAACATGGATAAATTTCGTTAAAATAGTGGTAAAATATTGAAATTATGTTTAAAAAATACATTAAATATAAAGTTTTGTTTTCATGTCATATATAAAGTTTATTTTGGCCACTGTTATACAATATTTGAATCTGCAAAATAAGCAAGGTATACGAAACAATTAACGAAACTGTTTTAGCAAAAGCAAAATAGCTATGCAAATAATTTAAAATATCTTTTTAAATTTTTTCATGGTAAAATTTTCTAATGTAGTTGTCTCAGAGTATTCAGAGTTATCAGAATATTCAGTTTTCTCTATAAAATTAATTTTACACCATTCCCTCTGATATTTTTCCTCAAATTATTTCTGGCTTTTTACTGTTAACAGAATTTTATTTTTCTTTAGGGTTTTAGACATTGCAGCTTAGAAAGTTTAGAAGGATTTGAAGGCAAAAATTTATAGACCCAGGATTCTAGAAAATTGCAGAAAAAAAATGGCCATGCTGTTAAACACGTAACGAATGTATTTTGCAGAAAGTTTACGATGTATTTCTTACTTTTCGTAGAAAGTTTGGAAGAACAAAGAAAACATAATATTTGAATGTTTTACTTCTGATACTAGAATCTTTTTCTTAACACGTTTATCTCCCCTTTATTTTCTCTAATTTTCACTAGACACAGACATGGAAAATATCAAAAATGCTTTTATTCTTATCAGAAGGACAGGCATTATAGAAAGAAATTTTTTTCATACTAAAGAAATTGAAAACTGACAATTTAAATAATTCATATTATATGTCTGAATGCATCATACACAGGGCTGGCGCTAGGCATTTTCCCACTTGATGCAATCTCTGCGGATCCTGAATTCTGCTTCCAATGCATGCTCTAAATTCTAAAAGTTTTGATATTTCTAGATTTTGTTGCTTGGTGTGTCACTAAATTCTAAAAATTCTGCCAGACCGTCTCTGTAACCAGCCCTTACCATATGTATTTCATATTGCTTCTGAATGTTCATATTACTAAAGATATAAAATTAGCAGCTTTTTCTCTGCTTTCTAAATTTAGTGTTTTTAGAATAACAGAAATCTTTAATTTAAATTCTAAAATGAAAAGGAAACGTGCTGAAGAAAGATCTTCAAAGATATGTATTTGCTATTAGTATGTACAGTTATTATTATGTAAATTACCCAGTTGTTTATAATTTCAGCCTTTACTATAATTTCCCATTTATGTTTTCTCCCCAGAATGCAATTCGCATGGATAGTT